TTTGTTTGGTTTATCAAAGATCAGATGACAACTAGAGACTGGTTTCATCTTTTGGTTTTCTATTCTGTTTCATGTGTCTATGTCTTTATTTTTGTGCCAGTACCATGCTGTTTGGATTACTGTGGACTTGTAATATAGCCTGAAGTCTGATAGGGTGATGCTTTCTGCTTTGTTTTTATTACTAAGAATATCCTTGGCTATATAGGTTTTTCCTGGTTCCACACAAGAGGTACAACATTTTTTCCTGTTCTTCAAAGTATGCTGTTGGTATTTTAATGTGGATTGTGTTGAATTTGGAGATTGCTTTGGGAAGTATAGACATTTTAACAATGTTGATTCTTCACAGCCAGGAGTATGGTATGCTCTTCCATTTGTTAATGTCTTCTGCTGGGTTTTTTTTTCCCCTTAGGGTTTCATAATTCTCTTTAAAGAGGTCCTTCACCTCTTTTGTTAGGTATATTCCTAACATTTCTTTTAAGCTACTATGAAGGGAATTGTGTCTTTGATTAGTTTCTCAACTTGGCTGTTATTGGCATATACAAAGGCTACTGGTTTGTGGACATTGATTTTATACCCTAACATATTATAGTATTTCTTAATCACTTATAGGAGTCTTGTGGTTGAGTCTTTGGGGTTCTCTAAGTATAAGATCATATCGTCAGTGAAGAGTGAGGGTTTGACCCCCTCCCCACAATTTGGCTACCCTTTTTATTCTTCCCTTACCTGATTGCATTGGCTATAGCTTTTAGACCTATGTTGGATAGTAGTGGCAACAAAGGACATCCTTATCTGGTGCCAGATCTAAGTTGGATTACTCCATTAAGTATGATATTAGCTGTGGGTTTGTTGTAGATGGCTTCAATCAGTTTAAGAAATGTGCCGCATATGTCTATTTTCTTAAGTGTTCTTGTTAGAAAAGATGCTGAATTTTGTTGAATGCTTTAGTTGGATCTTTTCCTGGTTTTGGTATCAGGGTGATGTTTTGCTTCATAAAACATGTTGGGAAAGATTTATCCCTTCTCAATGTTTTGGAATAGTTTCTGCAGTATGGGTATAGGCTCTTCTTTGAAGGTTTAATAGAATTCTAATGTGAAGCCACCTTTTCCAGAGCATTTTTTTGTTGGATGCTTTTTTATTGTTTCCTTGATCTCAGTGCTTGATATTGATCTGCTCAAGTGATCTATTTCTTGGCTCAGCACCTGTGGCTCAAGCGGCTAAGGCGCCTGCCACATACACCTAAGGTGGCGGGTTCGAATCCCCAGCCCAGGCCCACCAAACAACAATGATGGCTGCAACCAAAAAATGGCCAGGCATTGTGGCAGGCACCTGTAGTCCCAGCTACTTGGGAGGCTGAGGCAGGAGACTCGCTTGAGCCCAGGAGTTGGAGGTTGCTGTGAGCGTGATGCCATGGCACTCTACCCAGGGGGATAGCTTGAGGCTCTGTCTCAAAAAAAAAAAAAAAAAAGAGAGATCTATTTCTTCTTAGTTAAGTCTAGGGAGAGGGTGTGATCCCAGGTATTGGTCCATTTCCTCCATATTGTCAAATTTCTGGGCATAGAGTTTCTTGTAGTAGTCAGAGATACTCTCTTGTATCTTTGTGATATTTGTTATTTCCCATTTTTCATTTCTAATTGAGGTTATTAGAGATTTTACTTATCTATTTCTGGTTAATCTGGCCAAAATTTTTTTGATTTTATTTGTTTTTTCAAAGAACCAACTTTTTGTTTCATTAATTTTCTGAATGATTCTTTTGTTTTCAATTTCATTTGTTTCTGATTTAATTTTGGTTATTTCTTTTCTTGTGCAAGGTTTTGGGTTAGATTTTTTTTCCATTTCCTTAATATGCTTCACTAGTTTGTTGATATGTTCTCTTTATGTTTTTTGGATGTAGGCATTTAATGTGATAAATTTCCCTCTTTTGACTGCTTTTGCAGTCCCATAGGTTTTGATAACTTGTGTCTCCATTGTTGTTATGCTCAAGAAAGTTAATGATTTCCATCTATATCTCTTCCTTGACCCTTACGTCATTCAGCATAAGGTTGTTTAGTTTCCATGCCTTTGTGTGAAAATTTTTGTTGGAGCTATGTTTCATCTTTATTGCCTTGTGATCTGAGAAGATACAAGGTACAGTTTTAATTTTTTAAAATTTTGTTGAGGTTTGGTTTGATCTATTTTGGAGTATGTTCCATGGACTGTTGAGAAGAACATATATTCCTTAGCTTTGGGATGGTGTATTCTGTATATGTCTTTTAAGCCCATTTGTTCTTGGGTCACATTTAAATCTCTTACAGCTTTGTTTAGTTTCTGTTTAGAGCAGCAATTCTTGATCTGTGAGTTGTGAACCACAGGAACTGTATTAAAGGGCCACAGTATTAGGAAGGTTGAGAATCATTGGTTTAGAGGATCTGTCTAGTTCTGTCAGAGAGGTGTTAAAGTCCTCAGCTGCTATAGTGTTAGGGGATATCATATTATTCAGACCAAGAAAGATCTGTTTCATAAATCTGGGAGCAGTTAAATTTGGTACATAAATATTTAGAAGTAAAATGTTCTCCTTGTATATGAAGTGACCTCAATACATGTCCTGGGTATAAACATCTGTTTCCTGCTTGCAGACCTCAGCCAGCACTACTGTTTTATGCCTTTGTTCTATTGACATGGAATTCTGTATAAAATCAAATTGGATCAAGTGGCCCATTTTACAACAAAGGACACATGGTAGTGGTTATATAACTATGAACTGAGCCTATTTCTTATAGCAGCACTCCAAGCTACTGGCCTGATAGAACAATGGAATAACTTGTAAGCACAGCTGAAGTGCTAGCTTGGAGCTGATACCTCACAAGGGTGGAACATGTTCCTCTAGGATCATGCAGTAAGCCAGAGGCCATTATATTTTGATGTGTTTCCAGTAGGTAGAATACATAAATCTGGGAACTAAGGGCTAGAAGTAAGAGTGGTCCTGTTTATATCAACATTCTTAGTGACCCACTTGGGGAATTTATGTTTCTGGATCCCTGCAACTCTCAATTCTGATTAACTTCTGACTTCAAGTTTCTGATATGAAATGTTTCCATCAGGGAATACAGCAAGAGTTTTTTTAAAAACCTCAAACTTGCCTGGTGCGGTGACTCACACCTGTAATTCCAGCACTTTGGGAGGCCAAAGTGGGCAGACCACCTGAGCTCATGAGTTCAAGACCAGCCTGAGCTAAAAAATAGTGGGGTGTTGTGGCAGGTGCCTATAGTCCCAGGTGCTCAGGAGGCTGAGGCAAGAGCATCACTTGAGCCCAAGAGTTTGAGATTGCTGTGAGCTATAACATCATAATACTCTACTGAGGATGACAAAGTGAGACTCTGTCTTAAAAAAAAAACAAAATAAATAAATAAAAACCTCAGGCTAGGCTGGGTACAGTGGCTGATGCATGTAATCCTAGCACTCTAGGAGGCAAGGCAGGTGGATTGCTTTAGCTCAGGAATTCAAGACCAGCTTGAGCAAGATCAAGACCCAGTCTCTACTAAAAATAGAAAAACTGGCTGGGTGTGGTGGCACAAGCCTATAGTCCCAGCTACTTGGGAGGCTGAGGCAAGAGGATCACTTGAGCTCAAGAGTTTGAGGTTACTGTGAACTATGACGCTCACACTCTACCCAGGGGAAGGGAGGGACACTCTACCTTAAAACCAAAAACAAAACAAAACACAACACAACAAAAAACTTTTTCTCCTAGACTTACTAGTATTGGTGATTTTCTTCCCCCCCCAAAATCTTTACTGTGACAGTTACAAAATGCCACTTTTTCAGCTGTACCACTCCTTCCACTCTTTATCAGTTGACAGTCTATTAAAAGGAAGAGTTCTTTCATTTATTTGCCTATTATCAGCATAGACTTTGGTTTCAATAAGTTATAATAAAATGTTTTCCTTATTTTGAGTTTCACAACATCCCAGAGTTTGTCAGTGGGCATTCTTTTGTGGTAGCTTCTGGGACTTTTGGATATTATCTTGAACACATCTTTTCTCTCAGTCTCATTAGATGTTCTGGGCTTATCTATGCCTCCCTTTTCCAGCCTTAGATTTATTAACTGTCTTTTATTGAATGATGGTATTTAGAAATACAGGCTATGAATTTTAAGTGTTGTCATTACTACTGAGGTGTCACTGCTTCTAGGACTTTAGCAGACAAACCTATGTGAATTCATGAGTTTATACTTATATTTTCAATTTCAATTTGATTTTACAGGGCTATTCTTTTTTCTATCAGTGTTGTTTTGGTTTTATTATTCACTTGTCCCCTTAACCCCAGAGGAATGTACTTCTGGTCCTTCTCTTTTAGGTCCCTTCTCTATAGGCATTGTTGTAAACTACCAAGTTTTAGACCTTTGGTCAGAATTCATGCACTTAATGTTTCCTTTAGGATGATTCTGTCTATGTCTCATATTCCCCACTCCTCTTTGTTTTTGGTCTCTTAAGATTTCTCTTTCCTTGTTCTCTGTCCAAATAGGTTTGTAATCATTATAGAAGTTCCAGTGCAAGCTCTGTTGGAATTTGTATTTTATTTCTCTATTTACAGGAGATCTGAAGTTTTTGACATTGTCTTTCCTAATAGTGCTGGAGACATGTCTCTTGTGTGCTTTTACTTATAGTCCTTGTTATATTTGAGTAGTGATTTAAGGTGTCTCCTATATTAGGACCAATTGGAATTCTCTTCTTATAATCTTTTGTGGATATCCTATTATATGTTCAAACAGTTAACAGACTGAATAACTAACTGTTCATGCTACTAAGGACTTGTCTCCTTTTTCATGATTCTCTTAATTATTTTATATTTAATTGTGTATATTTTTATTTCTCTACTAACTTATTAAGGATAGGGATAAGTTTCTTAATCATCTTAGTTTTCTACTACCTGGTACTTACTAGATGCTCATAAAATAATTGAGTTGAATTAATCTTTTACCTAGTTATGTTTTTCTTTTCCTTCTGAAGTCTTAATTTACATTGTAGATGCTGAAAAAAACTCGTAAAGGGTCTGAGGAAGAAGTGGAAGTAGCACATGAGTTACCAGCTTTGGTGCCATTTGGAGATGTGGTATGTGTGATTAACCCTCAAGAAACATGTAAAGTTATTTATTATTTGATATGAAGAATAATTAAAGTTTATTATTTGGTAATCAGAAATATATGCATTAAATGATCCTCTGTGATAATATTTTCATAAATTTTTTATTTTTATGAGTCAGAAAAACACTGTAATAATTGCTGAAACTGTAGAAAATATCCTTATTCACAGAAATAATGTTTTCTATACCAAGGATTCTGAAATCTAGTCAAATCAGAATCACTTGGGATACTCTTTAACATTTATTTTGGGCCTCACCTAAGATCTGCTATCCTTGAATGTAACTAGATATTTCTAATGAGAGACAGTATTTCTCGTGAGAAAACCCAAGAAAGTGAAGCTTTATTTTTTTTAAATAGAGTTCAGTATAAAATGAAAGAAAATTTAACTTTTCAAAATTGTATTCACTATTTATGTATTTGTTTTGATTGTCATAGGTTGGCTGCCTGGCTATTCATATAAAGAACTGCAGACATTTTACGCCTCTATGTATCCTTTCTTTTAATTTATTAATTGTAGTATAATTATATCTCACTTTTCAGTTATCCCTTACTGTATTACAAACCACTCCAACACTTAGTGGCTTAAAATATTAACCATTCTATTATCAGTCACTACTTGTGCATTTACTAGGTGGTTCTTCTGCTTCACAGTGTCTTGGGCTACAGTTGTCTGGCAGTTCAAAGGACTAGAATATCTGAAGTGGTCCATTTATACATCTGGTGCTTTAGTGGGGATGCATGGAAGGCTAGACTTAGCTGGGATGCTGAAATTGTTGGGCTTTTCTTTCTTTTCTTGTAGTTCCATTATCTTTCTTTTTCCTGTATTCATTCTGATTAAAAATACTATAGTAATGCACATATTATTTATCTTGATTACTCACTTAAATTTTGTGCTCTAAGCAAGTGCCTTTTTTGCCCATCCTAGTCCCAGACCTAGTCACATTTCATTACATTTTATTGGTTAAAGTGCTCACAGGGTCAGCCTAGATTAAAGAACAAGGGAAATTAACTCCACTTTTTGATATAGGAACAACAAGAGATTTTTGCCATCTGTAATTCACCTCACTCACCACATAAGTTGAAAGAAAAATATATGTTCTGTATAATAATGCTAATTTATTTGTAAGTAAAAAGTATGCTTCCCTTAAACATTTTTAAAGGATTTATTTTATATTTAAATAAATTGAATGCTTATTTTTAGATATATCATGGCATAAAACTAGTCTCATTATGGAGATTTGGTATTTCTTTTTTGTATAAAAATAATTTTTAAAAATCTATACAAAATATCCTCTATATTTTTGAAGATAATTAGTTAAATCATGAAAACAAAATCGTTTTGATCCATGGATAACAACACAGACCCATATAACATAAATAAAGCATATACTAAAGAGAATTAGAGAGTAGAACGCTTTGCTCTTTGTCTTAAAATTAAAAATAAATCATTCTCATATTTTTCAAATTTTTACATAATTGTACCTAGAAAAATATGTAACTATATTTTATAATTATAGTTAAAGTCATCTTGAAATTAGTATGTAGAAAAAATTGTAAAGAAATTATGATGTTCATGTGAGGATAAAAATATGGCAAATGATCTAGAAAGAATCAACATTCTTTTTCTACTTATATTGTGTCTGCTAGTGCTGGGCAAAAGTACTATTTTAAAAGACTTTTTATACTGCTTAATGTACTTGATTGAATCTTAGGTTTTGGTCTGAATTGTTTAATGGATTAATTTTTATTATATATGTCATTATTCAATTATAACAAAACTTATTTCCTAAATATGATTCTATTTTCAGTCAATTTACAGTATTACAATGAATTATTCATTCGCATTTCAATAAATAAAATTGTGAAAAATACAAAATTCTACAGCCTACCATCCAAAATCAAGGAAAAGAACGCTGTAATTAAGTTTAATGAAGTAAAGTATTTTTCTATACAGGTAATGTTGTATCTGTTTTAGATACTAGATTATCTCTTTATAGTTCTAAATATTTTACCCTAGTTATATCCTTTTTTAAAAATGGGTATTTTACAGTATTTTATTTCTATACTCTATGGGCTATAGTGTGTTTTCAAAAAAAAAAAACAAACCCAGCTTACTGCAAAATGTGATCTTAGTGGACTTCTTCCCTGAGATGTTAGGTGGTTTTGAGTGTTTATCGTGCCTATGTTTTTCTCCATCTTACTCTTTCTTTCCTATATACTGTCTTCCACTCTGTCTTTTTTTCATTTCCTACCACTTCCCTTCTCTTCTCTCCTGTATTCCCCTTATATAGACTCCTCTATTTTTTTGTGGATTAACATATTCAATACTTATAACAGTGACCCCAAGACATACATGCATACATACATATATTCACTCATGCACACACATTCTCTCTTTCTTTCTCTCTCTTATTATCATCCTCATTTTATAGATGAAGAAACTGAGGCTAAACCTATGGCTAAAGAGCTTTAGTAAGGTTATAGAGCCAGTAAGTGATGGAGCTGTGAATAGGTAGTCTGGCTTAATTCAGATCATGTTTCATTACACTGCCTCTCACATACCTGAACTTACTATCTTTCTCTCTACAATTTAGCTTCTTAGGATCTTAAATGTAGGTCAAAGCTTTCTTTACAATAGGTAACATTATTGCCTGCAGCTGAATGAGTTATTGATTTGTCTAGTTGTTTCCTAATGCATTCCTTATGACATCAGTTGAATTTTAATGAAATCCTAAGCATTTCCAGTATGCTCCATGTTTTTTATAGGCCTCATTTTGTTTCAGTGTTGAGTATTAAATGTAGTTTGGTAGGCATGGGTTTTTTTTAAAAAGCAACAAAAATCAAGGCATAGTTTTTGCTGGAGGCAGTCTGTATTGTTTCTTTTACTTTGCAAATATTTTTCCTAAGATTTACTGGCAAGTTCTCAAGAGTTTGGGGGATATATGTCCACTTAAGAAAAACTTGTAAATAATAATGTAAAGTACATAATAGGGTACCTATTTTTACGAGCATAAACATTTTTTCCCTATAGTTATTTAGATAAGTATTATTACTTAGAGGATGTTAAGAGGAGAGTTTTAATCAACTCACAGAAAATTTGGGAATTACTTAATAATTACATGGAAAATTGCATAAGCAAATAAAAATGAAAAAGCAAGACATGCTAATTCCAGGGAAATTAAAAAATGATACAGAAAAGGAAATCATTGTAACTATATTGTTAAACTCTGAATGACACTTACACATATAAAATAATATAAACATTAAGTATTGATCTAACAAAGAGGCATGTTTGAAAATTTTCTGAGTAGGGTGTTGAGAGCTGTATTTTTCTTCTATAATAAGCAGTCAATAGTATTTTAAACTAAAAATCAATAAATAATAATATAAGCATGTTGTTTCAAAACATGAAGGTTAAAACACATTAAAAAGTTCAAAAAGGTGGCTTCTGAGGAATGGAAATTAAGGGGTAGGTAGGGCAGTATTCTATGATTATACCCTGTAGGATTTAATGTATAGAGGTATGACTCAGTGACGATGTGGAGAAGCTGCTGTCATTGAACAAAGAATTTATTACTTGCATTTTCTGAGACAAAGGGACATGACAAGAGGCCATAGAAGAAGTATCAGGATGGTCAGGAGGCAGAAGACAGGAGAGAGGGAAGACACCAGGCCAGAGATGTTTTGGAGTTTCTGCGGGAAAAGCAAGGCAGGGCAAACATTTTGGGTTGGCTAGTTTGAATAATTCCATGGAGCTGTGGTCTGTAGAGGTGTTCTCTAGTTTTCTAAGACCAGTCCTGGGATAATTTGGGGCAGGAGAAATATTGATTCGATGTGTGGGAGTTAGATAAGGAGGCTATTGGAACTATGCACTTGAGATTGGTTGGTTTACATCTAAAAGACAGGCTTCCTGCTGAGCCTTTGCTTTTCTTGGGATTGCCAAACCTTGGGGAGGAAAGTCTCTCTCCTAGAGAGTTTTTTAAGATATCAAAACTTCATCAAACATACAAAGTTTTTTAAAAACATGATTAATACATGTGGGAGGAGAAAAAAGTTGTTCCTTTGTTTTAACTATTGTAGAACTGTTTGACGTTTTAAACTATGTGCTCTATAATAAGGATACAGTAAAATCATTTTGTATGTACAGGCAGTTCCCAGGTTACGTACATCCAACTTACCTATAGTTTGCACTTACAAATGGAGGCTATTGTAGTAAGTCCCCAAGTTACAGACTTTTGCCTGATGTATGACTTGCACTTATGCATGGAGGCTAGTACACCTAATAGATAAATGTACCTGTTCCAACTTACATAAAACTCAAGTTAAGTATGAACCTACAGAGCCTATCTTGTTTGTAACCTGGGACTGCTTTAACTTTAGGACTTTAATTTAAAAGTCCTAAAAGTCCTAAGTTATGTTGTTTAAGCTTACAACATAGATCTAGGTTAAAAATGTAAAGATCATACAAAGCAACAATTAGAACCAAAAAGGAATAGTAAGTAGAATTTAACTTAGTTTACTTGTTCCAGAAAGCAGTTCAGTAAGTGATGTTAAAACCAAGATTGAAGAATGAATAGTGATGGATTTCTGATTCTGGCTATCCTAGAATAGGAGGTATTGGACTTATTCTCTTGCTCTAAACAGATATGAAACTGAGAAAAATATACAAAGGAACTTTTTTCCAGTAATGGAGAGTAGTGGGCTACAATTCTTTTTTTTTTTTTTTGTAGAGACAGTCTCACTCTATTGCCCTCAGTAGAGTGCCGTGGCATCACACAGCTCACAGCAACCTCAACTCCCAGACTCAGGCAATTCTCTTGCCTCAGCCTCCCAAGTAGCTAGGACTACAGGCGCCCTCCACAGTGCCCAGCTATTTTTTTGTTGCAGTTTGACCAGAGCCAGGTTTGAACCTGCCACCCTCAATATATGGGGCTGGCACCCTACCCACTGAGCCACGGGCACCGCCCTGGGCTAAAATTCTTAAGAGAAGGGAAGAATAGGAGGTGAGCTAGACATATCCAGTAGCATTCTATGTGGCAGTGACTCTAGCATGGTGAAGTAAAACCCAAGTAGAATGGCAGTCTTGCTGGGTGGAAGAAGCAGAAGCTGAAGAGAGGAAAACAGAAGTGACAATTTAGGGGGACTGTAGAGCAGGGTGCTAGTGAAAAGGGAACAGCAGATAAGGAGCCCCCTAATGTGCATAGATATTCCACTTGGCTGATCCTAAGTTGTGTTGTGTATAAGGCATGCTTTTAGAAGAAACTACAGGGAAGAGATGCTGGAAGGCTGAAAACTGAACAGAGATTTCAAAGTCCTTATAGTTTGACAGCTGAAGTGAAGTGACCTCACTGAATATTCCCAATATTTAATTGAGATCTCAGAAAGGCCAAGTCTTAGGGGCAAGGACCATGTTCTATTTTTTCTTTTTTTTTTTTATTAAATCATAGCTGTGTGCAACAATGCAATCATGGGGTACAGTGTTTTGTTTTGATATACAATTTGAGGTATTTTCATCAAACTGGTTAATATAGCCTTCATGTCATTTTCTTAGTTGTTATGTCAAGACATGTATATACTCCTTTTAGAAAGATTCACTTGTACCCTTGTAAAATAAACCATAGAGGTGATCCTTCCAATCACCCTCTCTCCCCCCATCCACCCCCCTCCCCTCTCCTGCCCCTACCCATATTCTTAGGCTATAATTAGGTTATAGCTTTCATATGAAAGCTATAAATTAGTTTCATATTAAGGCTGTGTACATTGGATACTTTTTCTTCCAATCTTGAGATACTTTGCTAAGAAGAACATTTTCCAGCTCCATCCATGTAAACATGAAGGAGGTAAAATCTCCATCTTTCCTTATGGTTGTATAGTATTCCATGGTGTACACATACCACAATTTATTGATCCATTCATGGGTTGATGGGTACTTGGACTTCTTCCATGACCTAGCAATTATGAATTGGGTTGCAATAAACATTCTGATACAGATATCTTTGTTGTAATGTGATTTTTGGTCTTTTGGATATATACCTAATAAAGCAATTGTAGGATCAAATGGTAGGTCTATTTTTAGTTCTCTGAGTGTTCTCCAAACATCTTTCCAAAAGGAATGTATTAGTTTGCATTCCCACCAGCAGTGTTGAAGTGTTCCCTTTTCTCCACATCCACGCCAGCATCTCTGGTTTTGGGATTTTGTGATATGGGCTAATCTTACTGGAGTTAG